GCCTAAAAAATCAATGGTAAAAAGATGTCTAAGTAGTCTCCAAATACTTGAAAACTATACAACACAACTTAGGTCAAGTAAAAGTTAAAAGCAAATTTTTAAAAATATTTAAATACGAATTAAATCAAAATCTATCAAAAATATTAGGAGTGAAAGAAGGAATATCATACCAGATATGCAGATATTAAAAGGATGACATGGGAGGAATTATGAACAACCTGCTTCAATTAAACTGGAAACATACATGAAACCATATTTTGAGGAACATAAATTTCTAAAATCTACTGAAAATTTTTGTATAGAAAGAAATCATTCATAACACTTCATAACTTTGAATTGTAGTTAAAAACCTTCCCACATGGCACACTCAAGACTTAGATGATTTTACTTGTGAATTGTACTAAATATTTAAGAAGAAATAACAAAAGTTATAAACAAAATTTATAAGAAACACAGAAGAAACAGGTTTTAACTCATCTATTAGGCCACCACTATAGCAATAGCAAAATAAATGACATTATAATAAAAAAAGAACTACAGATGGCACAGCTTCTAATAAAAATTAGAAAATTATTCTAAATGTAATGTGGCAATATCTATCATGACCACCTGGGGTTTTTTCCCAGAAACACAGGGCAGATTTAACTCTTTAAAAAATATAATTGATCATATTAAGAAACAAAACAGAACAAAACAAGGTTATGTCAGTAAATGGAAGCATAACACTTGACAAAATTCAAAATCAATTCATAATGAAAATTCTCAGAACATAAGGAAGAGAGAAGGGAATTTCCTTATCTTAGAAGAAACATTTATTTACCCAAGAGAAATGAAAACATGTAACCACCCAAAGAACTTTTCAAAGCAACTATACTCATAAAAGCCAAAATCTGGAAGGAGCCTAAACTTCCAATTGATAATAGAGAAACAAATTTTGGATTGTCTATACAACGAAATACTATTGAACAATAAAACGGAATGTGGTATTGAATCTTGCAAAAGATTATACAATAAGGAGTACAGCACCTCTACAACCATCTTTCTTCTTAATATCTCATAAGACTTATGAACTAGATAGTCAAAAAAGCAAAACTGAATAGTTATTTAAGCTACTATTTTATCACAGTCACAATAGGTGCTTCATGGAAAATCTATAATATGTACATTACAAAATATAATAAGGCCAATGTGGTCTCCAGTGTGGCTTTACTGAGACATTTAGGCCATGTTCTGGAGGATAAATGGGAGTTAATCACAAGAAAATGGAAGAAAGGTGTTGGTGAGAGGTCTTTAGGATAATTTCACATGCATAGGTCAGGACATAGAGAGAGGGTTGATGCATATAAGGAACCAAAGAGCAGTCATAGTAACAAGAGCAGATATGAGAACACTAGACTGGAACAAAACACTTAGGGCATTTTATTTATTTATTTTTATACAAAAAAATGGGAAGCCATTATTTCATTGTAAGAACAGTAGAGGCAATTTTATATGTTTGTTTTTTGAAAAGTCTATGGACATTTTGTGAATGGGGTTGCAAACTGGACTCCTTAGGAGATTACTGTGGTAGTCAAATTCATGATGGAGTGGTGGCATTGGGGATGAGGAAAAGGGTAGATTGTAAAACAAGTCTTAGCCTGTCTTCTTCACAGACCTGACATTAATAAAATACCACAGTTAGATTAATCAAGGACTTGCTTTTTTTTCTTACATTTTCTAATAACAACTTTTCAAATGTACAGAAAAATTGAACTAATTTTACAGTGAGCATCCATATATTCATTGCCTAGATTCTATCATCTGTATTTTACTTTTCCACATATCTATTCATCTTTTCATTCATCTCCCCATCTATAAACTATTGCTTTGTTTTGATGCATTTCAAAATAGGTGCAGAAATCAGCACACTTTGCCCCAAGTACTGCAATATACATACCATTACCTGGAGTTTAATACTCAGAGAAAATTTTTAGGAATAAAATTTGCAAGCAATAAAACCTACAAATGTTAAGGTACCATTTGATAGGTTTTAGCAAATGCATAGATCCGTGTATCCCAAATTTTGATCAGAACAGAATACATTATCCTCACTCAGTCCTCACCCTCAGCGCCATAGGCTTCTACTGCCATTGCAGGATACAGTTATCTGGATGAATGGTAAGAACTTTCATATAGTCTTATTTTGCCATTTGTCTATCATCTTTACTAAAGTGGTGTTCAGAAAAAAACTGCATTGGGTATTTTATTTTGTAATACTGATTTGCAGAAGGTGTTGCCATATCTTGGCTTTCAGTCCATTGTTAGCTATTTATTTTATGAAAATTTTCTTTCAATCTTGTCTATTTATTTTCTTAATTATGCTATTTGATGGATAGTAATTTTTCATTGTTTTATTTATTCAATTCAATAATTTTTTCCTTCATGGCAATTGTGTTCTCTATCTTGTCTGAGAAACCTTTGAATACTCTCAAGCAAAAAAGATATTCTGCCATATTTTATTGTAAAATATTTATTTTCAAGGTTTTAGTGTTTATGCTTAAACCTATGGTCTGCCTCTAATCAATTTTTGTGTGTGGTGAAAGGTCAAAACTTGAGCTTCATTTTTTTTTTTTTTGACATAGGTATGTTGTTATTCCAGTACCATTTCCTATAAAACTACCCTCTTTCCACTGTAGAGTTATTTGGTACCTTTGTCAAATATTGAAGGACTCTATAAAAATGGACCTATTTCTGGACTTTCTATTCTATTCCATTGGCAAACATTAGATTATCTTCATTGTTTTAGTTTTAGAGTAACTCTTAAAGTCTTCAGTGTTAGTCTTTCAAATGTATTGTTCATTGAGATTGCTTTGGATATCTTATGTCCTTTGCATTCCAATATAATTTTACAATTAGCCTGTTAATTACAAAAACAAAGAGGGCTAGTGGGATTACAAATGGGCTTATGTTGAATGTGACGATCAATTTGAAGTAAAACGGCTTCTTAAAAACACTGAGTTTGCTGACTCATGAATATGGTTGACTGCTCATTTACTTGGATCCCCTTTAATTTTTTTCAGTAATATTTTACAGTTCTCAGGTATTGAAGGTCTTTCACTAAATTTATTCAACAGTATTTAATGTCTGTGATGCTATTATAACAAAATATTTTTAAACTTTCATCTTCTGATTGTTAATATAGAAAATACCATTTTTTTGTTTTACTCTTCTATAACCAAGCAAATTTAATCATTACTTTTGGTTTCTGTTTTATTGTTCAGGATAATTTATATAAAATTATGTATATGTAAAATAATATACATACATACATATTTCTTCTTTCTGAACCTACTGCCTTTATTTACTTTTACATTATTAAAACTTCAATATCATATTGAACAAAAGTAGAAGGAGTGGACTTCCTTAAATTTCTCCCGACCTGAAAGAGAAAATATTTAATAGTTCATTATTAACCATGTGTTAACTGTAGGGTTTTATAAATTTTGTTTCTCAAGCACAGCACGTTCTCTCCTGTGACTAGTTGCTGAGAGTTTTTCAAATCATAAATGAGAGTAGAAGTTTGCCAAATGTTTTTTCCTCCTTGTCAAAATCATGTTATTTTTTCTTCTTTATTGTATTACTTGATGAATAATATATAATGATGGCCAAATGTTAAACAAACACTCCATTTCTGGGATAAACTCCACTTTGTCAAAATATATGCCTTTTATATACAGTTATATATAATTGGATAAGATTCTACTAATGATTTTTTCAATTATTTTTATGAAGAATATTAGTCTATGATTTCCTCCCTCTACAATATCTTTATTAGGTTTTGAAATTAAGGTTATGTTGGTATCATAAAATATGTTAGAAGGTGTTTTTATTCCTATTTTCTGAGAGAGTTTGCATAAGATAGGTTTTATTTTTTATATAGTCATTCATATTATCTAAGTTGTAGAAGATGTTGGCATAATATTATAATTACTCCTTTTTATCTTTTTGGTATCTGTAGTAAAACCTATCTTTTACTCTTGTTGTTTGTGTTTTAGGCATCTCTTTTTTGTCAATCTAGCTTGGAAGTTGTCAATTTGTTGATCTTTCCGAAGAACTAACTTTTGGCTGTGATAATTTTCTCTCATTTTGAGAAGTTCTCTGTCTTTGGCTTTTGTCTACAACTTCATTAAGTTTGTTCTTTCTACTGACATTATTTTATTCTTTCTACTTATATTAAATTCACTGTGCTTTTCTTTGTCTAACTTCTCTAGTTGCAAGCTAATGTCACTAAATGTAAATATTTATTCTTGCCAAATATGTTCATTTAATGTCCTACTCTTCCTTCTAGGCTCTCGCTTAGCTACCTCCCTCAATAGGTTGTAGTTTCCTTTCAATTTTATTTGAAATATTTTCTAAATTTCTTCATAATTTCTCCCTTGACTTATATATTATTTAGAAGAAGGTTATTTAATTTCCAACTATTTTTGGAAATTAATAAATAAAAATAAACAAAATTTTGAAATAAATACAAATACTGATTTTTATTTGTTTATTTAATTACACTGATACAACAGACTCTGTATAAATTAAATCTATTACACTTATTGAGGCAAACTTTAGGGACAAGGATATAATCAATTTCCGTAAACATATCATGTGCCCTTGAAAACAATGTGTATTTAGCAGTAGTTTTGTACGGCGTTCTATAAATAACAATTAGCTCAATGTGGTTGATAATATTGCTAAAATTATTTATGCCTTTACTGTTTATGTAGTTTTTGATCATCAGTTTCTGAGTGAAGGAAAAGATTAACTTTTTGCTGGAGAATATTTGTAGCCTATGATTATCAGATTTATTTACATGGTGTTCTATATTTTGTGTTTCCTAATATATATATATATATATATATATATATATATGTATGTATATCTATATGTATGTGTATACATATATACAAGTAAATATGAAGAAATATACATATATGATATATAAAATAATATCTAACAAATATACACATATATAGTTAGTACACATAACTTAGGTAATATTTATGACAGAATTATTAAAGAAAACCGATTTATTTCTAGGAAAATGGCGAACATGCCTTGATTTTTTTACATTCTTTTTTTCTTTCTCAGTTACATAAATGTTTGAAAAATCTTGCTAGTTAGTCATGAAACCAGGGCTCTCAATTCACCAGGTGACACTCTCCAAAATTTCACAACATTTATTAAGAAATGATCAATCTCCTAAAATCAACATGGCAAAACAAAATCCAAGAAATGATAACAAAATACATTCTTTATTAATTTTCCTCTCAAATAAAAAAGTTCATATAGTTTTTCATAAATACTCTATATCAAAGGTCTTTATTGTGGCTCAAACCTAAGTGACACAATATGTATTACTCAGGATGTTTTCTTCTTGTTTTAACAATTGATGTCACCACACTTTGAATATGTTTTATGTGAGTTGACAGCTATTTAACAGTGTTATTCATCATTATTAATGTATGAAAAAATATAGTACATTTAATATTTGTTTATGACCATGTTAAATTTCATCTACTTAAAGATATTAATTTATATACTGATTAAGTCATTTTAAAAAGTCATAATTTAGGAGAGCATTCCAGCAGCTTTGTTCTTCCTCTTTTACTTTAAATGGTAGAGGTAAAAGGTTAGTTGAAATTTCTGCATGCGATCCTGCTTTTGTTTTGGACTTATGGCATTCTTGTTATATATTAGATGTGTTTATTTTATGTCTCTCTGTGAATGATGCAGCTCAGCAGTTCTTCGCCTCTGGGTGTGAAGAAACTATTGAGTTAGCCTTGGCTATAAATTGGTACCACTGGGATGGACAACTACTTAAATTATTATATTATTTTTCATAAGATGCTGTACTCTGAAGTCCTTCCCATTTATCAACCTAATAGCTCAGTGGGTGTCTCCTGCAGCCTTTATTGTCTGGGTCAGTTAGCTCTGGACGTTAGAGTGGTGATTATGAGGGCCAAGCTTGTGGTTTTAATCCCTATATGGGCCAGTTAGTTTCTCAGTTAGGAAAAACCCTTGTGCACAGCAATCACCTGCACTTGTAACCTTTCTGTCTTGTAGTTAAACACCAAGGGTTATGGAAGTGACATGTCATGGGAGTGCAGAAGACATAGTGCAATTCATCATTACTGCTAGAGAAATAAATCAAGGCACATATTCCCTTGACTAGATGTTTCTTTCATCCTTAAGTCGGGGAGCATACACATGGATTTGGAGCTATATATGCTGTGCTTAAATGATTTTTTTTGTTAAACCAAATATAAACTCAAAAGTGTCATTGAATTTGAAATATTAAAAGATAAAGCAGCTCAATGCCTGAACTTTGGAATCCTTTGACAGCTCACAATGCACCATATCCAAACCCCCAGAAATTGTATTTTCCTAAGCTCAGAAATTCCTTCATAGTAATTTGTCATGTTTCCCAGTCTTTCACAATCATCATGGTTGGCCTTTCCCCCAGGTGCATTTATTGTTTACCCTTGTTTGGATTGATGGCCCAGTTCTCACCTGTCTAGGTTGGTGAGCCTTGGCACAGCTTGGATTAAATCTTCCATCTCTCATACAGCTGCAATTTTCTGTAAGGATCCACATTCTCTCACCAACACTCCTTCATAACAGAGTCCCCTTTTGACTCCATTATGAGGGGAAAGAAATTGGGGTCTTCACTCCTCATCTTCCTCCATTCAGTCAAAACTATCTTTTGGCTATCTGCTTTCTTCAAACTGTTGTATAAGTGGGAGGAAAAAATAATGAACTGCCGTAAGAAACTTATGATTAGGATATGAAAAAACAGGAAGTGGGCATACTTAATTTTAACTCAAGAAAGACCATGGGCCATGAAACAATGTGTCTGAGAAAAGTAGAAGCAGACCTGTAAGAATACTTAAAATCCTGAGCTGTGTTCAGTGCTGAGCTTCATTGTCCTGAGTTGCATTCACCCCATGAAACAAAATGAGATTTGAAGGCTAGTGATATGGTTTGGTTCTGTATCCCCACACAAATCTCATCTTCAATTACAAAATCAATAGTAATCCCCATTCATTGAGGAAGGGACGTGGTGGGAGGTGATGGGATCATGGGGAGTTTTCCCTTACGCTGTTCTCATGATAGTGAGGGAATTCTCATGAGATCTGATGGTTTTAAAGTGCGGCACTTCCCCTTTACTTGCTCTCTGTCTCTCCTGCTACCATGTAAGACATGCCTTGCTCCTTTCTCCCTTCTGCCATGATTGTAAGTTTCCTGAGGCCTCCCCAGCCATGTGGAACTGTGAATCAATTAATCCTCTTTTGTTTATAAATTACCCAGTCTCAGGTACTATCTTATTTTATTTTATTTTATTTTATTTTATTTTATTTATTTTATTTTATTTTGAGACAGAGTCTCACTCTGTCACCCAGGCTGGACTGCAGTGGCATGAACTCTGTTCCCTGCAACCTCCGCCTCCCAGGTTCAAGCAATTCTCAGGCCTCAACCTCCTGAGAAGCTGGGATTACAGGCATGCACCACCAAGCCTGGGTAATTTTTGTATTTTTAGTAGATACAGGGTTTCACCATGTGGGCCAGACTGTTCTCAAACCCCTGACCTCAAGTGATCTACCCAGCTCGGACTTCCTATGTGCTGGGATTACAGGCATAAGCCACAACGCCCAGCCTCAGATGGTGTCTTTATAGTAGTGTGAGAATGTGCTGATAACAGCTAGTACAATTATTTTAAAATTGTTCCTTGTCACTTTAAGTTATGTGATTTAAGTTACTTAACACAAATCTTACGTTTTATCACCCACCTGCTTTAAAATAATAAAAAAACCTATTTCAGTTATCAAAGTCTGATTTTCTTATCAATATCTCCTGCTATTCCTCTTTTTAACAGAGCAAAAGAAACTCAAAAAACAACCAACTCTACCTATTTGCTTGCAATACACATCCTGAATAACCCCATCACTCACGTGTAACATGTAGATGGATGGAATCAAAACATTAACATTTGTTAATTTTGTCATCAGTGTTGTCTTTATCATTTGCTGTGGTTTACCAATATTTGTCTCTGTACAACATCAATCCAGCTTTTTCTTTCTTTCTTTGTTTAAAAAATAAAGATAGAATTAATTTTTCCTTGAGTTTTTCCTGCCCCAATGATATATTTTAATTGCTGGAAAAATATAGTTCCAACTGTATTTCTGGTGTAGTGGGTTAAAGGTTGAAGGGACAATTGTTTTGACACACCTTTTCCTCAGGACATTTTCAGCACTGAAATTCAGGTCATGGAGAGATAAGTTAAAGTGCTGTTTTAGGAAGACTGCCGGGGGCAGATGCAGTATTTCTTTCGTAGCTTCCCACTTTGTGTACACAGCACTGCAGCTTGCATAGAAGAGCTCACCAAGATTACCGCACCTGTGGTAGGACGTTAGGAAGAGAAGCTTCATCTCAGTCCGTGGGAAACCGTGCTTCTATGTCCCTGTATGCCTCTTCTGAATGCCACCAAGACGTGCTTGGTTCCTTTAAGAGAAGCAAATATTAATACCTCTCTTTTGTTCCATTTTCTCTTCATGCCCTGTGTCTTTTTGACCTCTGCTGAAAGCCGTGTGTGCCTTGGCACTCTGTTACAGCCATCATACTTTGTGGTGTAATTGTTAAGGTCACATAAAGAATCAACCTTGAAAAAGATGACTCAAGTTGGATGTTTTTCTATGAAAAAGAAGTGTATGTTAATGCACTCAGAGAAATAAATAAACATTGTATCTGATCCTGTGGGGTGCAATAAAGTTTTTATGTGAGGAGCTGGGAATAATCACATCACTCATCTGTGCCACAAATATGAGTGAGCCAGGAAGGTTTTCTCTGTCAAATTGCTATAAAGCTTTTCTCGGTACTATCCCAGCTCATTCCAATTTTTATTTATGACAGGTGTTATCTCCAGTTTACTTTCTTTATTTTTCCTTTTTTGTTAAGTTTGTGAGCAATGGAACTTATATGCTTACCCTTGATAATGTGATAAAGAATACATAATTAACGTGGAAGCCTGGGTATTTGGTCATTTCAAGGGATAAGAGTTGGGTAGTATGATGGAAATGTAAGAGAGATAATGAATAGCTAGAGGCCCATGGACTCACTGAGTTCTTACTGGTCTTTGTCTGATGCTTAAGAAATACCTGAATCTGCTATGAAAGCCAGCATATTTCCAGTGTTACAGCCATCCATTGGCATCCTATGGGGAAGGTGCCTTTGTTGGGATGAAGGGGTATTGGGTCAAGAATAGGTTTATGACAGAATGATTCTGAATCCGCAGAAAGATGTATAGGCAATAAAGAAAGTTTAGGAAACTAAGGATTAATAGAAGGTGATGCTCTGATTCTTTTATCACAGAATACATACAATTAAATGACAATGATAAAAATAGCAAAATGCCATAGAATTTTTGTTTCTGAAAATAATAGAATATCAGGAATTAGATTTAAACTCCTGTCTTGAACAAGCAGAATACCAAACAAAATGTATTAAACACTGGTTTTCAGTACTGGAAACAAGCCACTCAAGACAATGATCCCTGACACAAGAGAATGAGTGAAGTGAACTCTAGGGCTGATTCAGCTTACAGCCTGAAGAGAATTGCAGGCTGCAGTACAGGGAACCCATTCAGTGCCTGGTTGCCTCTCTAAGTTGAGAAGGCAGAATTTATTTATATAGGAAGTCCAGGCAGCTAGAAACACAATGTAAAATATTAGCAAACAGGTAGATATCATGAGAACTTTGGAGTTTTAAGGATGAGTCACCTTAAGAGTTCAGCAGAATACAGAACAGTGCTCATAACTGGGCAAAGATATCAGGCATGCAGAACTATCCCAGGAGCTGACTCTGGGCTAAGAATAGTAGCGTGTCCCCCTAGACAGAGTGAGAAGACCCACGAACACATGGAATGGCACTTCGAGAAGAGTTCTCAGAAAGGTATGACCTCAGTACTCTGGCCAAGTTATCTCTAGATTAAGGGCTGCTCTTATCGCAGCTAAGAATGTTTAAAAACAAGCCTAGAAATAATTGACTGGTTCAAAGGGACTTAATTGAATCTTAGAAAATGGCTAAAATATAGTCAAAGATATATAGGGAAAAAAATATCACCCGACAAGATTCCAATGTTAAGAATCTAATAAAAAATTATCAGGCATGAAATGAAGCAAGGAAAATGACCCTTAGTGAGGAGAGTAATCATTCAACAGAAACAGACTGTAGGAAGTGGAATTATTAGACAAGGATATTAAAGAAGCTATTTTGAATATGTTCCATAGGTTGAAAAAGTAGAGGAATATGTGAACATTCTGAGGATGGATATGAAATGCAAAAATACTCAAATGAAAGTTATGGAGATGAAATATACAATGTCTGGCATAAAAATGTATTGAGTGAGATTAACAGCATATCAGCATTGCAAAAAAGCAGGACAAATGAGCTTGAAGATCTAACAGTCAAAACTATCCAAAAGGAAATCCGGTAGGATTAAATGATGGAAGAATAAACGAGCAGAGAATCCGGAGGCTGGACAACATCAAGAGGCTAACAATATTTATAACTGGAATCCTTAAGAAATAGTTGAACAAATAGGCCACTGTTTTTCAAATTCAGCAAAACCATAAACATATAGGCCTAAAAATTTGTATGAACCAAAAGAAGAAGAAACATTAATAACAGAACAAGGCTAATAATGATCAATTTGTTTAAAATTAGTGGGAAAGAATCTTAAGAAGAAGCTGCCCCAAAAGTTACCTTATGTATAAAGGGCAAAAAGAAAACAGCATAGGAGACTTCTCATTAAAATGTGCTAGCTGTAAGTCCATGAAGTTGCACATTTACAGTAACAGAAGAAAAAATTAACAGAATTCTATATTCAGTAATATTTTAAGAATTCAAGGCAAGATGAATATTTTTTTGGATCTATGAAAGCTGAACAAATTCATCTCTGATGGTCCAGCAAATAAAGAAGTATTAAAGTCCTTCAGTCAGAGGGAAAGGATTCCAGGTAGAGATACTGATCATATGAATGAATGGAATGAAGAATGCTGAAAATGGTCTAGCATTCATTCATTCATAATAACCTGAGCATCAGAAGCATTTTGTTAATGGTATTTTATCTCTTCTCATCAGGTAAACACTAGAGTAATAAGAAAGATATATTACCTCATTTTTAAAAAATTATTTAAAACATAACTGAAACACGCAGCCATAAAAAACGATGAGTTCGTGTCGTTTGTAGGGACATGGTTGAACCTGGAAGCCATCATTCTCAGCAAACTGACACAAGAACAGAAAATCAAACACCGTGTGTTCTCACTCATAGGTGGGTGTTGAACAATGAGAACACATGGACACGGGGAGGGAAGCATCACACACTGGGGTCTGTCGGGGGGAAATAGGGGAAGGACAACAGGGGCTTCGGAGTTGGGGAGAGATAGCATTGAGAGAAATGCCAGATATAGGTGATGGGAAGGAAGGCAGAAAATCACACTGCCATGTGTGTACCTATGCAACAATATTGCATGTTCTTCACATGTACCCCCAAACCTAAAATGCAATAAAAAAAAGAAAAAAGAAAAACAACACCAACAACAACAGCATAACTGAAACAACTCGAAGGAGTAACCAAAACTCTCACTTCAAGAAACCAGAAAGGATATAAGAAAATAAACACAAAACAAGTAGAAGGAAGGAAATAATTAAGATTAATGCAGAAATCAATGACATTGAAAACATAAAAACAATTTAAAAAAACAATAAAACCCTGCTGGGCACGGTGGCTCACGCCTGTAATCCCAGCACTTTGGGAGGCCAAGGCAGGTGGATCACAAGGTCAAGAGATCGAGACCATCCTGGCCAACATGGTGAAACCCCACCTCTAAAAAAAAAAGAAAAAACAATTTTTTAAAAATCAATAAAACCAAAGCTACATTTTTGACAGGATCAAAACAATTGATACATTTTTCACAAGACTGACAAAGAAGTCAAGAGATCAGATACAAATTGCTAACATTAGGAATTGTGTAGAGGGGATATCGCTAGAGACCACAGAGGTATTAGAAACATGGTACTACAAAGAACTATGTGTACATAAATTTGACCAGTTAGATAAAATGGACTAATTTCTTGACAACTACAAATTGACAAAGAACAATTCACCAAGAACCATCTTAATACCCAGGTGATTTAATTCTACTAAATAATGAAAGAATAACAATAATCCTAAGCATATTCATCCAGAAATAGAAGATAAATGAACACTTCTCAAATCATTTTATGACACCATCTTTACTTTGATGCTAAAAATAGAAAAAGAGAATACAAAAAAGACAACTTCAGAACAATATCCCACACAAACATAGATATATAACACTTCAGCAAAATGTTAGCAAATAAAATCCTGTTATATATGTATAAATCTATCTTTCCATCCATGTGTTGAAATAATACTATATTACTAACAAATCAGATTTCTTCCAAAATTCAGAATTTGTTCAACATTTAAAAATCAATTAATGTAGTTTGTTATATTAACAGTCTGGAGAAAAGGGAAAAGACACACAGTAGTATTAATAGACACAGGAAGTACGTTTCATCAACTAGCCATTTTCTTAAAACTTTTCAGTGGTTTCTGATGGCTCTTAGAGTAAAGGATAAATTCTATCAAATGTACTACAGCTCAGTTCTGAGATGGACCCCTATAATCTCTGAAGTCGTACTCTCCTATATGCTTCTATGAGCCATACATGCTTTCTCAGGGTTCATGGATTATAAGATCTTTTATGCCTTGTGTTATCCTCAATCAAAATTGTCTCTGCTTTGAAAAATTTTCTCCACCTTTTAATTTCTCCCCACCACTGAGTTTTGGCCTTTGTGTAATATAACCAGTGATACTTTCATGGAAAGGCCAATTCATATAAATTCTTATGTTTTAACAACTTTTTATACCAATTCCTATTTATGATTGTGTTCATATAATTTAAATTTTATCTACACATGTGCATGCTTACTGTTCTCTTCCATCTAATTCATGTTAAGCATTCATAAATAGTTAATAAATGAGTAAATTATCTGCTTTCTTTTTACACCTTCATAATGACTTGATCATCAGAAGCATTTTACTATTGGCATTTCATCTCTTCCCATCAGGCAAAGTAAATGCTTTGGAGAAAACAAGAACATGCTAAAAGTATCATTCAATCCATTTTATTTTATATTTAAATAGTTTTATTATTTTAACTTTAATGGTATAATAAATGTTTATTAGCATTTGTCATTTATTCATTAAATAAACATTTATTGAGTTCCTCACATGGCCACACACAAGTGATAGACGAGTGAACCAGACAAACCAAAGCCCCCAAATCTATGAAGTACACAAGTATGTGGGTCTCTATCATTGTTGTTCCTTTCATTTTTAAGAAACACAATGTAATGAATTAAAAGAAAAAGCAGTTTTTAGTCTTTCTCCTTTGAATGACTAGTATGAAAGA